CTTTCAGTCCTGCAAGCTCCATTAATGGTAAGTGCCTACCAAAGGTGTGTCATTTCATTGCTTTCTATCCATACCAGAGGCCTGGTGCACGAGATTCGTGCACTGGGGGAGGGGGGGGTGCATCCCCTTAGGCCCAGCCTGTGCCCTTTCACAGTTCTGGGACCCCTCGGGGGGATGTCTGCCTGTCGGCTTAGGCCTCGATCCCTGGGATTGGACCTAAGCCAGCAGTCAGTCAGACATCCCTCTCACAGTCCAGGGCTCTCGCAATCCGGGACCCCTCACTCCTTACCACCCGCCACCACCGCTGCGCTCGCTGTGAGCCCAGCTTCTGGCTGAGCGGCGCTCCCCCAATGGGAGCACACTGAACACCAGGGGGCAGCTCCTGCATTGAGTGTCTGCCCCCTGGTGGTCAGTGAGTGTCATAGTGACCAGTTGTTCTGCCGTTCGGTCGATTTGCATATTAGCCTTTGATTATATAGGATTTTTACCATGCCTTTTCTATGTTTCGATATGTTTAGATACACAAATACCATTGTGTTACAATTGCTTACAATATTCATATAGTAACATGCTGTATTGATTTGTAACCTAGGAGCAATAGGCTATATCACATAGCCTAGGTATGTAGTAAGCTATACCACCTAGATTTGTGTAACTGCACTCTATGATGTTTGCACAATGACAAATTGCCTAAGGACACATTTCTCAGAACATATCCCCATTGTTAAGTGGCATATGACTGTATTTCTAAAAGATTCAATCCATATATTTTTAAAGTTCAAACAGTTTACTTAAAGTATGAAATCACAAATACTTAAATAGTGGGTCAAAAGCTTTAAAGCACTCAGATTTTCTAAAATGGTACTTAAAGTAATGCAAAAAAAGTAAACAGGACTTACTGAATAGTTTATGTTGTCAAGATCTGTTATTTTAAATGAACTCAGGCAATCTGAATTTAAGGAGTCCTTTAAAAGTAGCAGTACTTGTTCTGTTCCAGTTCCAATAAAGTCATCTATGAGTACTGAGCTAATTTGTTCCCACTTAGCAGCAACCTGAAAGAGTGATAAAGAATAGAGAAGGAAAAAAATCAGATGTGACATTAACTAAATCTTTTTGTTGCATGTAGTTGTAATTTGGTATCTTCAATCTTATAAACAAGTAATGAAAATGGTACTAGTATAAACAGTAAAAACTAAAATAAATATATTGAGAGATCAGGAAACATAAGGAGTTGTACCTTTATAAATATCAAGATACTTAAATTCAATATTTTATCAACATTTCTCCAGGGACTATAACACTGCTGATTTCTATATTAAAATTTTATTATAATTTATAAATTCTCATACTTCTCAAGACTATTTTGGAAATTCTAATGTTTCTCGTGAATAACTCTAGTGGTTTCTTTCTCTAACATGTTTAATTTAAAGATGGCCCTCACGACCATAAGCCGATATCTACAGCATAGGGGGAAAGTAGGTTTACAGAATAAACTCTGTGTTTTGGTACTCACAACAGAAAACCTACTTTTGCCCTATCCTGTATTTATGATCAAAGAATGTAGTTGTAGTAGGTAACTAGAAGGTACCACTAGACACAATAAGAGCTCTCAAAGGAGAATAAACTTTAAGAGTCAAGATGACAAAAGGAAATTTGTGGTAAACCCAATGCAACATACAGATGATGCATTATAGAATTGTATTCTTGAAACCCATATAATTTTATTAACCAGTGTCATCCAATAAATTTAATCTAAACATTTTAAGAAAAGAGTCAAGATGAACTTAATACCCTAAACTCTGGTTGGGGAGAACATAGTTATAATCAGAGCCACAAAAGGGGAGGGATTCTAATAGTGGGGCACTTAGAACCATCCTAGCCTAGTGGATTGATTTGACCAGTTTATACTAGACCATGAGACTCCAAGTTTAAAATAGAAGACAACTTCTTAAAGGTCCATAAAGTTGAAAGCCTCCAGATTAGTCCCCTGGAAAACTAACACCATGGGGATCAGATACCCTTTTCCCTCAGGCAGAAAACGAAAACTCCCACTGAGAATCCCAGAAGCACAGACACATCATCTATGATACAGGAGGGCAGCTTGCATTAGAGCAAGAATATAAATAAGACTCTTCCATCTATATAACCAAATATCAATCTTTCCTCTATAACAGCGGTTCTCAACCTGTGGGTCGCGACCACTTTGGGGGTCGAACGACCCTTTCACAGGGGTCGCCTAAGACCATCGGAAAACACATATATAATTACATATTGTTTTTGTGAATAATCACTATGCTTTAATTATGTTCAATTTGTAACAATGAAATTGGGGGTCACCACAACATGAGGAACTGTATTAAAGGGTCGCGGCATTAGGAAGGTTGAGAACCACTGCTCTATAAGGCTAATTGCTAACGCAGTGATTTTTTCACTATGTGGGAAAGGAGCTTATTTGCAAACCCATGCCCTCTTTCTCCCTCTTCCCCATGAGTATCATGGAGTACAATGACTATATAAAAGATTATATATATATATATATATATATATATATATATATATATATAATCATAACTATACAGTAGTGATAAAAATGTGCTCATTATGCAAACACCATAGAGCTGTGCACTCATACATGCACGCACATATCTGTAATCCACAAGTCTTGAATAGTCATCCAAAATAAATATAGGCAAGCCACAAATGCTGGGCACATATATAATTTTAAATATCCCAAGACCCAATAAAAGTCTCTAGTAGCAGTGAAAAGAAAAAGGTAAAAGTAACTTTATTATATTGTATTTAATCTAATATATCCAAAATACTATAATTCCAATTCAATATAATCAATAAAAATTTAGGTATTTGACTTTCATTTTTTTACTACATGTCTGACATCTGGTGTATATTTGACATTTCTAGCATATTCTAATTCAGACTAGCCACATTTGAAATGTTGAATAACCACCTGTGGCTAGTGGCTACATCAGAACACTTCTGCTACAGAACACTTCTAGAACCAGATATACTTCACTATGATCTCAATTTTGAAAAGCCTGTTACAAATTCTTGCCAAAACTTGCAGAGGTAATTTCAATTCAAGAGAGAAAGCCTAAGAAGAGAAAAGCTACTCGTATTTCTCTAGAATCAGCTCTCTGTTTCAAGTCCTGTCACTGGATACAACATTGTACCTGGGAGCACTGATATGAGAACACACTAAACTTGACTTTCATTACTTATTCTAATTTATGCGTGTTTGTAGTTAACCTATCTTTTTAAACTGCCTTAATTCCTTTATGGCATGAGGTACCAAAAGGATGGATGGATAGTCCCTAGCCAACCTAAACGAAGACCATTCTGTTGTTTTCTCCCATTTGAGGAAAAAAACTGCTATCACAGACACCAGTTTATTTTTCAATAATGTATTTGTTTTATTATTCAAAACCTCTTACAGACTACTACAATCAGTAAATTCCTCTCAGAACTCAATGTTAGAAAGTATTTTTCCCTTAACAGTGTATGTTCCCTTCAATTGTAAAACCTGCTATATTTACTTTTTTTTGTCTTAACTGCTAAATTAAGTGTAATTGTTCACATGCAATTACTTCCCTCAACTCTTTCCCCCTTTATTTGTAGATTCTTAGCACTTATTCCCACTTTTAAAGTAATCAAATATTTTACCCTAAGCTATATCCAAAACTCCAAGGTTACAGAGGCAATTTAGAAGCACTTAATTTGGCAGATATCAGGGCATTTGCAAATAGTTTAGAAGTACAGGCTCCCTGGAGAGTTAGCCTAAGGGATAGGGCCTCAGGTAACTTGTGGAAAGGATGGTGATTCATTGTAGAGAAAGAACCCTAGAACACAATTTACTGAGCTTCTCCTAGGTGCCAAGCACTGTGCTAGACACTTAACAATGGCATTTAATTTAATGCTCCCCTCTCAAGAGACAGGATGATTTCAATTTCATAAAGTCAGAAAACAGGTTCACAAAAATGAAATACTTTCCTTAAGGTAAGACTAGTAAATGGCTCAGTTGGGATTCAAACCTAGGTTAAGTGTGTTCTTTCCATGACCCTGACCCCAATAAGGATTATGGGCTTTACCAGATGATTTCCCCCCACCATTTCTTGGAAGGAAAAGAAGTATAAAAAGACAGAAAATGCTACCTTCCAAATAACCTTCAAGTAAAAGTACAATGTGCTTTTAAAAGACTGCTTTCAAATTAAAACAGGATAGCTTTCAAATTATTTTCCTTTTGAGGATGTAAGTCCTATATGTGTAACTGAGAATGAATATAGTTATATAATCCCTATTACCATAAAGGTAATTTACAAGGCAAAGTCTGATAAAACACAATTTCAACCTGACATTTCCACATACAGAAAGTAACGATTCACATAAAAAAAAATGCTTCTCAAACTTTCTAAAATATTTATCAATATTCCATATCAAGGTGATAATGGAATGATAGAAATTATAATTGAGCTTCTAATTAAATGGCTTGGGCACACAAAGGAAGGCACTATCTCCAACTTAAAAAGTTGTATATATAATGTACTAAAAAAATCACTTTTGAAAAAGACATTTCTGACAAGTAATGATTACTTATCTTGAACTGTAAACACTCACATCACATACCTGAATGAGTTGGTATATATCTAAAGCCAGCAGGATTCAGTGTTACCAAAAATCAGTGTCAGAGAAATATTATTGGTGCAGATACCCTGCTACAAACCTCCAAATTCCTATTCCTTTTTGCATCTTTTTACCTGTTATTGAACACTCAATACCATCGAGTATTTTAAAGCAATTTCCTAACCTTACATTAAAAGATACAACTAACGTAAATGTGGATAAAATGTGAATGCTTGCTAAGAATAACTCCGAGTTTCAAAATATAACATCATAAAATTGTCTAAGCAAGTTTTTAGAAAAAATAACACTTATCACTTCCATCTCTGGAGAACAATTATTTGTTTCTTAAGGGACAATGACACATTTAAAGAAATTCCTCTAGATTTTAAGTTTAAATAGATAATCACCAGCTTTTAAAAAGTTAAACTTATTTGAGTTTTCTAAGAAAGCTTATGAAGTCAAATCACTTATAATTTTACTGAAGGCCCAATGCACGAAATTTGTGCAAGGGGCTCGGACCCCGCCACCATGGTGGCCGCCTCTGCCTAGGCTGCTGCTGCCACTGCTGTGGCAGCCACCTTGGCCCTCACAGCCCCGGCTTTGTCCGGAAGGTCGTCCGGAAGGATGTCTGGTCTAATTAGCATATTACACTTTTGTTATTATAGATTCTAAGTAAAAATACACATCCAATTATCACATTATAAAAATTAGCGATCGTCACTTTAAAAGACAAATAAATATGTAATAATTAAAGTTATATATTTATATATTTCCAAATAACTCAAAGGTTTTATGACTCAAAATGGCAAAGCAAAACCTTTATCAGGTAGTATTCTGATAACTCTAAGAAAAAAGAGCATATATGATCTTCTTTTAAGTGCAGCACTGAAAATTGGTTTGGATAATAAGACTCCAGGATGAACTCTATGAAGTGTAGGAATGCTACTAGATCTACGACTACACCGAGTGAATAATTATGAGAATAAGTACTGTACCTGAAAGTTCTTTTCCCAAACACCACAAGCACTGGACCTAAAGGACACAATGAGAAGACGGTCTTCGCCTGAATCCATAAGTTGTATTGCACAAGGATCTTCAAATGGAAGCTGGCACACACTTTTAGGAGTCCCATTCTGGAATGAAATCAGCTGATTCCTCCGGGTAAGGGCAATCAAAGACATTCTTAGCTTGTTGTTGACAAACTCAGTTGCACAGACATGCACACAAGTTATCACACTACTATAAGCAGGAGGGATAATGTATGTATCACTTATTACTTCTTCACTTTCAAGAAAGCATACACAAAATCTGGTGTTCCAAACTGCATAATCTGATTTTGAAGGCTCTGAGGTGCTTTCCTCCTCAGATAAATAACATTTCTTTTGTCCTAATAAAACCATACCTAGATTTTCAATCTCTCCTGCCCACTCAATAGAGGAAAAGTTAATGGACACAGTAATAACTTCGCTAGTCTGGGGAGAGAGATAGAAGAATGTTTTAACATGTTTCCATATAATTAAAGGCCCGTTAAAGACCCCTAGGCCATCCTTCAACTCATGGGATAGTCTAAAACTCAAACGTTTTTCAAATTTATTGGTACTGTGAAGAAATAGTAGAAAATATTTGAAAACATTATTCTTTTCATTGCATTGTATCATAATATAAGGGAGGTTCATTCCAGTTCTGAAATCTGATACACAGTTGCAACACAAGATTTTTAAATCAGAGTTTTCTTCCTTTATGCTAAAGGATCCAGTGGACTTCTGAACAAATGCACTTGTTTCTCTGTCAAATACCATTCTTCTGACATGTAATATGGGTATTTCTGCAGGCCCTTTATCTGCAAAATTTCCTTTAGACAATTGAAAAACAAGGACTTCACCATTATAACACAAGACTCTTTCTTGTTCATTAGATGACATTGCTTGTTTGCTCCCGATTCCACAACATCAAGTCTTTGTGTTGGTCCAGTTTTGGAATACAAATTGATTCCATTCAATGCTTTTTAACCTAAAAATGAAATGAGAAAAACTGCCATCAAGTAGGCAGAGTTGAAGAGAATACACATTTTTGTTCGAGAACTATTACCTTTGTTAGACTATTATAAATTTTATTAAGTTAACATTTTTAAGCATTTTATGCTATCTTAATGTCACACATCAAAAAACATATCCTAAGTATTTTTTCTGTACAGCCCTTAAAAAACACAGTTTGCAAAGAATGCAAGCAACCGCATCACAAACAATAATGGGATGTGTTAACAGCAACTATTAAAAGCTGTAGGGCTCTATTAAAGTGACTGCAGACATTCTTTCTGGCTCAGGAAATTTTGAGATCATAAATGTCTGTGGCTTTAAGCTGCTAAATCTGTCTGTTGCAGCAACACACAAATACATTCCACTATGGCTTTTGTTTTTTTAATTAAATTGATATTATTTTTCAGAACTTCATGAAATCTGTGACGTGAAGTAACTGGAGATAATGTATCATAATACAAACTAGCAGATGTCAATGGCTTATTGGTGTGTTGTTAGGCAATTACTGTCAAAGATATAGGGCCAACAAAGTAGTTTCAGCTTCCGTAGTAAAGTTAGGTAGGTAAATTAAAAGGTGTGGCTTTTAGATATGAAACTACCTTTTACTTTTAAGGAAATAAACATGTTAGTTACATTATACCAAAATGTATGAATAGTAATTCCTGTATTTCAAATTTTCCAGACATGTCAGGACTCTTAGAAGATAGCCAAAAAGGGAAAAGTATAAGATGAGATGTTCAAAGATAAAGACCTAAGAGCACATTGTCTTTTACTACCTACTAGAAAAGTTTTTTAAAAATAAAATTACCACTTATTCCACAGGTTTAAAGGTTTATTTTATGAACATGTGCTAAGAGTTTTTACTCTTAAAACAAATGTTGAATTAGCAAAAAAATAAAAGATACAAACATATATGTGAATTTAATAAGCCTTGAAATTACCAAAAGTTTGAGCAAAAATTAATATTCATAAATACATTAATATTAGTAGCTAAAATAACAAAAAATAACTTCTGTATAGAAAAATATTTTGTTATTTTAATATTAAATGCCACAGGTAATATTTAACCAACACAGTGCTCTTACTCACTAATATCCAAGTGTGATAGGAGGGAGAATCTGACAGTTAAAAGGTTAGTAGACTCTCCCCCTTTACTGAACTTTAAAGTATGTATTATCACACCCTGACAAAGTTATGACTTAGGAAAATCAGGCCCCTTATATTCTACTAGAGGCCCAATGCACAAAGATTCGTGCAAGAATAGGAAGCCTTCCTTCCCCTGGCTGCTGGCACTGGCTTCCCTCCGGCACCCGGATCTGGGCCATCGCTCTGCCCGCCACCTTCCGCCTTCACTCTGGGCTGGAGCCGCCTTCCACCTGCCCCGGCCGGCTCCATGGCCGCTACCTAGAGGCCGGCCCTTGGCAGCCAGCCGATGCTTGCAGGAGGCTTGACTTCCTTCATCGCTGGGGCGATGAAGGAAGCCAAGCATCCTGCCCACTCCGGCTGGCTCCATGGCTCCAGCCAGTGCCGCCATCTTTGTGGCTATGGGCGCCATCTTTGTTATGAAGTGACGGTTAACTTGCATATTACCTTTTTATTAGTATAGATTCTTTTAATGCAATATATCACCACGTTCCTTAACTTAGAAACATCCATCTTCAAACTATCTGTTCCAAATGCCATTAGGAGAGTTCAGGGTTTCATCTTCTCACTTAGGCTGTGGTTAAAGCTCCTAATTGGTCTTCCTTAGCCTAGTCTCTCCCCCTCCAATAGATCCATTTATTTATGCTATCTCAATTATTGTTCTGAAACATAAACTTTATCTGGTAACTGCCTTCTAATTTAAAAATCTTGTATGCACATCCCAGCCCTTTTCAATAGATCCACGATCCTTGAATTACTACCTGGAAAGATAGATGTTAACATATTGAATATATGAATGACATAGAGATAAAATGTTACAAACCACTGTTATAAAATTCAGCATGATATTCAAAAAGCCTTGCTATAATCCTAACCCAACATTTTTTCAGCATGAGCTCTAAGCAACAGCAAATTTACTCTCATGGGCTTAATCTCAAACAGATTTAAAAACACAAATGACTATTATATAAAAGGTCATTATTTTTTCTTTTTAAATACTGTTGCAAAAACATGCATATTTTCCATGTTATTTAAATGGGCCACCTTAGAGTTAAAAATTAGAAGCTACTAATATGTCATGAATTTTTGAAGACAAATTTCTCCTCAAACTTTCTGTAATCTCAAGGCCTGATAAATGCACATATATATGTATATCTTTTACTTTATACTAATGCAATATTTTTTAAGAGTAAAAGTTCTTAGCATATGTTCATAAAATAAACCTTTAAACCTATGGAATAAATGGCAATTTTATTTTTATTTTTTTAGATAAAAATAATCTGGAAAAAAGTGAAACTCAGGTTTAATTTGGAGGTTCCTAAACCAATATAAACAATCCCTGAATAATCAAACCCTGATTATCATATTTCAGCCTATTCATCATTTATATCCTTAAAACAATGGCTGCAGAAAAAAACAGGTAACTCAAACCAGTTAAATTTTACCTCCTACTCCAACTATGGGGGGCAGGAGATTTAGAAACAGAGTATTTACAAAACTAGAGGCCCAGTGCAATTTGTGCACTGGGGGTGGGGAGTTCCTCAGTCCGGCCTGCGTCCTCTCGCAGTCCGGGACCCCTCGCTGCTTACCGCCCGCCAGCTCGCTGCTCCTTACCACTTAGTTCACTGCTCCTTAGTGCTTCTGCGGAGACAGGAGAGGCTCCCGCCACCGCCGCTGCACTCACCAGCTTCTGGCTGAGCGGTGCTCCCCCTATGGGAGTGCACTGACCACCAGGGGGCAGCTCCTGCATTGAGCATCTGTCCCCTGGTGGTCAGTGTGCATCATAGCGACCAGTCGTTCCACTGTTCGGTCGATTTGCATATTAGGGCTTTATTATATAGGATAGTATGCAATTAGTATGAGCTTTTCCTGTCCCATATTACTTTACACCAAAGTTGACAGTAAAGCAAATTGTCAACTGAATGGACTTCAGATTTAACAGACAAAATTTCTGGTCTGTATGTCATATGTGAAAATTAACACCTTGTTAATTTTAAAATCCTTTTTGCTCTTTTTAAATTTCTTTAAAGAGGAAGAAAGGGGGGGAGAGAGAGAAGGAGAAAGAGAAACATAGATTTGAGAGAGATACATCGATTGGGTTGCCTACGTATGTTTCCTGACCAAGAATTAACCCACAACCTTTGTGTATGGGATGTTGCTTCAACCAAATGAGCTATACCAGCCAGGGCTTAAAATGCTTTTAACCAAGATTTGCTTATAATTAAATTAACAGGTTATTTTTTTCTGATTAATTCACTTATTTTTAACAAATTTTAGCAAATAAACCGTATGTTGAAAAAAACACTAGTAATTTCACAGACATAAGTAAATATTACCTATCTATAACTATAGCCTACATATTTAAATCCAAGAGTCACCCCTGGTAAACAATGTTTGGGGAATGTTTAGCACATGATCACACTGCATTTAGAGTGGTAATTGTTTCTGTTGTCACATGGCGTTACTTTCTGCAGCAGTTTAAACACATGCTGGCTGATATTCTGAATTAGCCCCTTATATTGAGGTTTTACTGTATATATCTATATATCTATATATATCTATATATATCTATATATATCTATATCTATATCTATATCTATATCTATATCTATATCTATATATATATATATATATATATATATATAAAAGCCTTGCCCTGACCAGTTTGGCTCAGTGGATAGAGAGTCAGCCTGCGGACTGAAGGGTCCTGGGTATCGATGTTTCTAACTCTCTGTCCCTCTCCCTTCCTCTCTGTAAAAAATCAATAAAATATATTTTTTAAAAAATAAAAGCCTAAGCAACCGGCTGACCAACTGACCAGCCAGTAGCATGATGCGCACTGACCACCAGGGGGCAGACGCTCAACGCAGGAGCTGCCGAGCTGCGGTCACTTGGCAGCGGTGGGTTCTCGGGTGATACACCTGGAACCAGAGAGGAGGGAGCCTGATTCCGGAGTAAGTAACCCAAGAACCGCCCTCTCACAATCCGGGACCCCTCAGGGGATGTCAGAGAGCCGGTTTTGGCCCTATCCCCACAGGCCAGGCAGAGGGACCCCACCAGTGCACAGATCCATGCACTAGCCTCTAGTTTTATACATAAAATGTGTGAGTATACTAGAAAAACAATACATAACAGCATAAATATAATAGGTTGGCAATAAATTATCCTCATCCATTTTTTTTCCACCAGTCTCCCAAACAAATACACAATGTTGCCTTTAAAAGCTACTAAATTCATTTGGACACTTTGTATTTCAGAACTCTTTTAGTTACTACCAGTCTGGTAGTATGATCTGTAGATGAAATCTAAAAATGTCTCTAAGAAGCCACACCAATTTCCACCAATATAAAGTATCTTTGGGGGGGAAAAGGTAGCATTAAGAAAACTAAGTGCTAAGTAAAAATTTAAACTAATCATATTAAACATAATCTTATGAGCATAATACTGATAGATGTCATTTTTTCAACATAGACATTATTACCTAAGTAAATTAACTTGGCTACAAAACTAGTGTTAAAATTTTTTTCTACCTATATGACTAGAAGTCATTTGTTGAGGCCTCCCTAGAATTAATCTCCCTTTTCCCTTTCTCAACAATATTTAATTGATATTAAATACAGGTGAATATGGGGAATGGTGATCCAATAACAGAGTTAGGAAAGATTAAGTTAAGAGGTTTTCTATGTCATACTAAGGACTTCTAACTTTCTCTATGCAATGATAAACCACCAAAAGATTTAAAAAATAGAAATCCCAGTATTATATTTCTGAATTATAAAGATTTGGGTGACAGTGTTGTAGACGGGTGAGGTCAGACTGAAGGCAGAGCCATTAATTAGGAAATAATGACTACTTAATTAAAGGGAAAGGCGACTTTGGAAGGCAATATGGCAATAAATGGAAATGCATACTGGTATATCCAGTCATTTCATTTCTAAATATGACCCAAGAGAAGTAATCCTACATAATTTATAAAGATATTACTCTAGAATGTTCACTGTGTTGTTATGTGTAACATAAAAAGTAGTAAAACCTTCAATGACCACCAATAATGAAATGTATAAATACAGATGGAATATCACAACATAGTTAAAAGAAATAAGTTAGATCTATGTGTATCGCCATGGCTAGATTTCAAAAATAAAATGAGAAAAAATACATTGCAAAAGAATGTATATGGCAGTACATTATTTATCTAAATCAAAACACAAAACAGCATTATATATTTTCTGTTTACCTTACAATGGCTAAATTCTGAATGCTTTTTCTGTACCAGGTACTGTTGGACTTTGGAGTCAATCATTTATTCCTCACAACATCCTTATGTCACAGGCACTATTATTTCATTCTACAGATGGGGAAACTGAGGCAGGAAGTTTCAGGATCTTCTTAAAGGCCTACAAAAAGGAAGTGCAAGAGTCAGGATTCAAATCCAGGCAGCCTGGCACAAAAAAATTTAAAAAGTTGTACAGATTCATGCCACATTGTGAATGACTTTATTCTAGAGAAAGGGATAGACTTCAGGGGGGAATGGAGCCAGAGGAAGACCTTAGCTATACAGACATACGTCAGAGATATTGTGGGTTCAGTTCCAGATCATGGTAATAAAGCCAGTATCGCAATAAAGCAAGTCATAATCTTTTTGCTGGTGGAGGGTCTTGCTTTCAATTTGTAAAAACACAACACCCGTGAAGCACAACATAGCAAAGTGCAATAAAACTAGGTGTGCCTGCCCTAGCTGGTTTGGCTCAGTGGATAGAGCACTGGCCTGGGGACTGAAGGGCCCTGGGTTGTGTCTGGTCAATGGCACATGCCCAGGTTGTGGGCTTGATCCCCAGTAGGAGGCGTGCAGGAGGCAGCCAATCAACGATTCTCTCATTGATGTTTCTACCTCTCTCTCTTCCTCTCTGAAATCAATAAAAATATATTTTGAAAAAACAAACACGAGGTGTGCTTGTATCTAAAATATTATTAAGAAATATCCAAATATTCTTTAAGCTATTCATTCATTTTTTTCTCTAAAAAACGTAAACAAAAAAGTCTGGGTGAAAGATGCTAAAGTGTCAATCACGTTTGACTATGGATGGTGGAAACATGGGGACTGTTCTTCTTACAAGGTTTGCAGTTTTCAGCACCTTTAAATTTTTTTTAAAAGGCAATATCATTGAATGCGAAATTTTCCTTTCAATTTTTTAACCAACAGCCATAAAATTTGTCCCAGTAACTTATGAGTCAATCTTTCTCAACTTTGGCACTTACTGATAATTTGCACTGGATAACTTGTGGGGCTTGTCCTGTGCATTGCAGCTTTAACAGTACCCTTGGCTTCCACCCACCAGATGCCAGTAGCAGGTCCCCTCCCAGTTGTGACAACAAAAAACGCCTCCAGTCAGGCAGGGGTGGTTGAGCATCCACCTATGAACCAGGAGGTCACGATTCGATTCCAGGTCAGGGCACATGCCTGGGTTGCAGGCTCGATCCCCGATGTGGGGCGTGCAGAAGGCAGCTGATCAATGATTTTCTCTCTCCCTCTCCCTTCCTCTCTGAAATCAATAAAAATATTTTTAAAAAGCAACGCCTCCAGACATTTCCAATTGCCCCCCCCCTTGCTTTGAGAACAATCATCTCAATAAAGTATACAATTTGCATCTCTTAACTTTATGCAACTTTGTTTCAAAGATTTCAATGATACATTCGTTAAGTGCCAAATCAGAAAGTTGTTACAGAGGTGGAGAAACTTCCAAGTGAAATATCCCCAAATATAACCAGCACTTAAAATCTCGTTATCATTCCATAGGATGATGTCCATCCAAGGGATGATGGACACAGGCCCAGGGATGCCCGCTTTCTCCCTGCTCTCCCGCAACGATGACAAGGAAGCACCCCCAGCCCCGCCGCCCCCTCCAGGAAGGTCGGGTAAGGAAACACTCGCTGGCCCTACCTCCGCGCCCGGGACCCTGCATCCTACAGCTCCCGGGTTCCTGAAGTTCCACCCGCGCACGCAGTTCCGGAGGCTCCAAACCTCCCGCCAGCGCGCGGCATCTTGGGAGGGCTGGACCGGAGGCGGCTCTGAGGGGGTGGAGCCGGCCGAGCCGAGGGAGGCGGAGGAGGCGGGGCCTCCCGGGAACTTGGGGAAAGCGAATAGCAGGCGGAGCTTGCTCGGGCGGAGTTCGTGGGGAGGGAGAGGTAGGAGGAGTGCCTTCTGTCCAAGGCTGGCGGGGGTGGGTCCGCAGTGCCGGGACGCAGGGGGCGGGGCGCGACCAAGAAGCGAATGGGAGGCCAGGTTTCGGGCAAGGTCCCGCCTCCAGACTCGGGCGGCCGTATGCGATTGGGCAGCGCAGCTACACCTCCGCCCGCCTTCCGGTGTCACGCGACCGCCTCCACCTCCCGCCCTTCCCTCTCTACCTCCAGGCCGGCCCGCGGGTGAGGAGCTTTTGGGAGGGCAGCGGTGGAAGTGAGGACGGGGACTGCCATCACGTCTACGCCCGCGATCATGGCCGAGGTGAGAAGCCGAGCGCAACCGCAGCGCTGCCGGCCCCCTCCTGGGACCCGGATTCCTCCTCTGAGCTCGGGGTGAAGGCGGGGGGTTGGGGGGGACGCTCCCAGGTGCAGGTGGGCTGAACCCAGGGGAAGCAAGCTGGTGTGCTTGCTAAGCGTCTCTTGCTCTTGTCTCCCTTCCAGTGTCAAGCCCAGAATAAAGCCAAGCTCATCTCTGAGACCCGACGAAGGTTCGAAGCCGAGTATGTGACAGGTGGGTACCGCGTTCTCGGTGTGGAGGCAGGTGTGCAGTGAGCATCCCCAGCTTTGCTGCTCGTGTGTTTGCGGGTGTCCCAGTGGGAAGTGTTAGGGACCATTTCGACCCTCACGGGGACGGTGCCCTGCAAGTTTCCAAGGTTTTCCTCTCCGTAACATGGCATGCACACTGCTCCAATTGGGCAGCTGATGTATCCATTGCTTGCTAAAGGGTTAATGCAAGTTGGAAATCAGTGTATCTAGCATCACAAGTTTATGGAACTTGCAGGACACTTTCCCCGTCAACGGCACTGGTGACACTGTCCAGTCCCTGGTTCCTCTGCTGACATTTCACCAGCAGCAATCGCGAAAATGAACCTGGAAACTGCCATAATCCTATTCACGTGTACTTAAGTGGGGATCCAGATTCCTTGGATATTTTGCTTAATTCCACGTCATACAACTAACCCAGCATGCTACCAACTGCGTAGGCTCTCCAGTGCTAGAACAAGTTCTCATCTTTTTATCTCACACTGTACCTAGCAAAGTACCCGAGAGTCCAGAATTGATTTATTGCTTAAACATTCTGTGCCCATATGTCACAGATACTTGAGTTGTCCAATTAAAACCGATGATTTAATCCTTCTAATTTTAAAAGCATGCAGGATAATTTGTTATAAACATGATATAAATATTCTAATTCTAATCCTGTCACTTGATAGTTTACTTGTCCTTTCTGAGCACACTGAATAGCTAATTGTCTTTTCTGTTTCCATTGCGGTAAAATGGAAATAATTGGGTTAGGAGTATTAAATAAAAAACATGTATCAAACTGTCTAGCGTGGGGTTAGCATATAGTAGTCTGTCAATGAATATTTTGCCTCTATATTCATTTTGGTTACTGTGAAAGGAGCTAAGCTTCCACATCTTGACTTTAGTGCTAAAGGATGTTCCCTGCAACTTTAGACTGCACTATATTATGTCAGTTGATGACCTAGAACGAAAAAGGAAATCTGTTCCAAAAAAAAAACCTGGTCAGTAAATATTTTAATCCCTTCCCATCCTAAACTTTGCACCAGAGAGTTGCAAAAGCACCTGATTCACCTTGAGTCCAGAGATCTCATTTCTAATCACATAGCTGGTTCCAGTAAAGAAATAATTCTAAAATTTCTTTCTATAGAAATGAGACTTTTATGGCTACGTGTTTTATAATATTTTAAGAAATAACTTAAAACCTGACCTAGTGTCTACCCAGTAGTCGTTCACTTGCCCCCAATGTACTCATAGGAATGTAGCAATAGACAAGATCTCAAAGGTCATCTTGCTCCAACCTTCTTATTTGTAAAATGAAGAAAGTAAAGTTAGAGAGATTAAGTGATTTGCTCAAAATCTCTAGTGTTAGTGGCTAGGCCAGGGCAGGTGCTCAGATCTTTGAATTTCACTATAGTAATCTTTTGGTAACACCATCCTGTCGAATTATTCATGTCACTCCCCAGCTTGAAATCCTTCAGTACCTTCCTACTTTGTTTAGAATAAAAATTCCAATTCTTAATGGTGGCCTCAATGCAAGGCCAGGCATGCCCTAGTTCTTACCCACCCCTTCATCGTCCTCTGTTCCTACTCTCCTTGCTTAGTACAGATTTCTCCAAGGCCCACAGTAGGAAATGTATTATATATTGCAATCCAGTACATGTGCACACACAAAACTGAAGCAAAAATTTGTTAAAGAATACTTATTCTGAAAACCTATAACTCCCTTGAGGCAGTGACCCACAAAATTGTTATCACAACTTACAAACATACCCCACAGTTTGAAAAACATGACCAGCCACACTGCCTCTTTTATGTTCTTCAAACAAACTGAGTCTGTTTCTATCTGGAAACCTTTCCACTTCTCTATGCCTGGAAGGCTCTTGCCCAGGTAGTGTGCATGGCTAGGTCTTTTTGTTTTTCTTTTCCATCTTGGTTTAAATGTATCTGAGGCCTGTGGTGATTATTAAATAGCCTCCCTGTCTTGTTTATTTTGTGTCCTTTGCAGGTCTTACCATAACCTGTAATTATCTCATTCATTTGTTTACTTGCTTATTGTGCAGTCTCTCCTGTAGAATGTATATAGGTCTGGGGCAACCTGTTGGCATTGAGGGCAAGGTCATACTAACCTTTGTATACCTAGCACAGTTCTCAATACATATTGAATGAATGCATATAGAGCAATGCTTAAATATATACTACATAGAGAGATTAGGCCAAGTCAGTGTTAAGAGCTGTCCTAACCGGCTTCTCTCCCCCACCAAAATCTGGCAAAGAGCAGCCCTCACAATATGTCTGATGAAGACAGTGTTATTTCTAAGCAAAGCCCTGTGTGCTATTAAATATAGGGAGGGTTTGTCCTTAAATATACACACTTAGGTATGTGTGAACTCATGGGTGGGTTATCTGCACAGACTTTGTAAATATTAATTTAATTAATTTAAAGATTTTCATGGAAAAGAAAATAACCTTTGAAGACTTTCTCCCCTTAAAGTTTCAGGAGTTTAGAACATCCACTTTTTTCTGTTTTATTTCACCCTTCCTGTTGTCATTTCAGAAGAGGCTTAAGGCAGATTTAAGAAACACCATGTTTTTTCTAAAGGAAAATATTATCTGCAAGTATATCATTTTAAGCACTGGCTGTACTCCAGAAACTCAGATTTTGGGGAACTCAAATTGCATTTTTGTTTCCATAGAAATAAAGTTACCAATTATGGATAGATTTGTAGCTGACAAAAGAATGAAATAGAAATCCATTATTTTTATTCATTAATAACCCATTTTTTCTCATTGTTTCTGGGAGAAATTCCATGCTGAGTTTCAAATGAGTAACATTTCCTGTTCTCTCTTCCTTCTTCTTGTGGCCAAAGCAAAAGACTAATCCATTGTGACAATAATTGATTCAGTTCCTCAAATACTCAATATGTGTTTAATGCTGCGAAACAGGGTATCAGTATTAGAGAAAGAGCTGAAGAAGGATAGAGCCCCTTCTCGAACTCCTAGAATCTAGTAGGAGCATTAAAACAGAACTGTTAAAGTTAAGACAAATTGTAGAAAGAGTGCTATAGTCATTTCTGTAGAAGTCAAACAAGGAAAAATCGCATCTGGTTGGGGTGGCTAAGCTAGCAAAGTTAGGAAAAATTTCACAGAAAAAAGGTGTTTCTCATGGACTTTGGAAGATGGTGGCACTTGACCAGGTGGATAGTGCGATCCAGGCAGATAGTGTGGGCTAAGTTGCTGAAGTGAGAAGGTATGAGGGCATGTCCAGGAAGCCAGAGGGAGTCCATTTTGAGGAGCATAGGGAGGGTAAGCTAAGAACAATAGTGTAGAGAGCCTTGGGCACCTAAGTGATGCCTTTGTGCTTGGTGAGTTTGGAGAACTATTGACAGTGTTGTGAGCTTTGTTATTTTAGGTTTGTTTTCTGACTTTACAAGTATAAGAATTCATTAAAACGAATTTTGATACCCCAAACAACTGAGGAATCCCCCATAAGCTCATCATGCAGAGATAGCTCTAAGGGTAGATGCATTCTTTCCTGTCTGTTTTTCTATACATAGAAAACCATAGCTAAAAACCCGTTCTGTGTGTAATTTTGTGTTGCATTTCTTACTGATATGATTTTCTTTCTCCAGATATATAAAGTTAGCAACATTTTATATTACTATCAATGTTCAGTTCTATAAATTAAAGATAATAGTCTTACTCTTTAACTTAATAGTCCCTTTTTGGACATTTCTTAATACAATTTTTTTTTGTACAGTAGTGCAGATTATTTCCTTAAAACTCGTGTCTAAAAGTGGAATTCTGATTATAATAGTGTATTTTTAAGATACTTCATTTTATGTGTGCTAAACTTTATTCATTGTAAGTTGCACCAAGATTCATTCCCAACAGCCCGTAAAAAAATTAGTTTCACCATAGCCTTACCCATATTTAGTGTCATCATTTCTTAACTTATGATTCTGTTTTAGTTTGCATTTGATTACTAGTGAGATGAAACTTCTTTTCATATGTCTACATCCATTTATAATTTAATTTTTATTACTGTGGCCTTATAATTGGTTTGGAGTTTTCTTGTTTATGTCAATTTTACTTTTTTCGTTTTTTGAATGTATTCAAAATTACCCATTCCTTTGTGGTTTCTTCCATTGTTGTTAAGTTAAATAATTTTCTCTCATCCAATAAATTTTTCTAGTCTCTTAATTTTTGTTTTGTCTTGGTTTATTAATTTTTTAAATTTTGAAATGTCTCATATAAGCA